CATACACACACACACACACTCTCTCTCACACACACACATACACACACACAGGTACAACTAGTTGATTTCTTTTTTTTAGTAGTTAACATATATTAAAATGGTTTAATGATTTAAGAAAATATAAAAAAAAATAATACTGTCAAACTTTCATACCAGAAAATATCATGGATTTTTCTCAATTAGACATTTTCAAAGATGAAATATGAAAATTTTAAATAAGTTTTATATAAAGAACTTTCTGCAACCTCAATTAATATATAGTGGGAAATGTCTACTTTTTAAAGCAAAGTCTTCAAAACATACTCAGAGAAAACAAGCTCTTCAATAAATGGTGCTGAGGAAGCTGAATATTCACATGTAGAAGAGCGATACCTGACCCACACCTCTCATCATTTGTAAAGAAAAACACATAATGGATCAACTATCTAAATGTAGTTATGAAATTAACACACGAACATATACAGGAGATACTTTAAGACATTGGTCTAGGAGAAGTTTCATTTTGCTTTGACTAGAATCCCCCCTAGACAGCGAAAGCAAAAATGAACTCGGTGGAAGACATGACAGTGTGTCTCTTCTGCAGAGCCAAGGAGATGATGACCAGAGAGCTGGGGACAGAGAACGGTCTTCGATTATTCATCTGGCAATGCGGTAGTATCCAGAAAACAAAAGAAACTCAAGAAATTTAATAACAACCTGCTTGAATATGTATGAGAGCTTTAGCTGACTATCACTTATGAATATCCTCCAAACCTTCAAATAGAACGGTAAACTAAATGTAGATAAATTGAATAATAATATCACAGTAAGATAGGGGTTATCCAAGGGACTCCAAGGCAAAGAAACGTGGGTGAATGAGATCAATACATATTCCTAGAAAATAGGGCTAGGGCTAGAGAGATGGCTCAGCAGTTTAGAGCAGTGGCTGTTCTTCCAGAGGACTCAGGTTCAATTCCCATCACAGTTGGTGGCTCACAACTGTCTGCAACTCCAGTCCCATGAGGTCTGATAACTTCGTCTACTCTCTGGGGACCAGGCGTGCATGTGGTTCATAGATATAATATGTGTAGACACAATAACTCATGTAAATTAATAGACAGGTAGATTTAAATGGCCATAAGATATATAAAATGTACAGCATCACCAATTAGAGAAAGGAAAATCAAAGGACAGTGTGGAGTAATCTCCCCAGTTAGATTGGTTGGTATAAAGATGATGAAATGATGAAATCGGGCAAGGATTTGGAGAAGGAAACACACTGTTGCTGAAAACATGAACAAGCAGAGCCACTGTGGAAGGAAGTGGGGAGGTGCTTCTGGACACCCCAAACTAGAACGACCATATCACAGAGCAGTGCTCCAACTGGACATATGCTGACAGACAATCCAGTCACTACATCAAAGAGACACCTGTTTGGTGCAACTCCATTCACAGTAGCTGTGAGATGTAGTCAACTTAAGTGCCTGTTAATAGACGAGTAAGTAAAGAAAATAAGAAATCCACCTAATGGAATAGTATTCAGCCCAGAAAGAATGGCCTCTTGTCATTATCCAGGCACAGAAAGACAAGTGCTGTATTTTCTTACTCAGTCATGAAAAGTAAATACTCAGAATACAGAAGGGATCTCTAGAGACTAGGGAGAGAAAAGCAGGGGTGTGTGGGGAGGGCTGGACTGAGGCTATGTGGGGACACTCAGTCAGAAATGTGTATGGTACTCTGTGTATGCCCTACTTCATAAATACTAAACATACATAGACAGACTGATAATTACTGACCATCAAGGTAGGGATAAAAACCTGTGCATGCTAGTTTTCTCTGGGGCGGTTTATTTCAAGGTTGAGTACAACTTATGTGGGTGAAAAGGATGCTGTAATTCTTTTTTCTTGTCTGTCCATATCTCTGAAATTTGGGGATTTGTGGCAGAACAGTAAAGTGTCCCATTTTAATTTAGAATTCCATAACATGGGAAAGACAGCTTGAGTGCTAAATCAAGTGTGAGTCTGTGAGGTCACAGTATAGGAAAAGATGAGAAAGTGGTCTATGGGGGGAAATGGTAGTTTTCTATCTTTGATAATTATAATATCACACTTCTCCAAGTAATTATTAGGAATTAAAGCTGCTTGGATTGGAATGGCTTGCCCCTGTCTGGGAACAATGGGAGGCATGGAGTGGACAGACAGGGGTCTAACAGCAGGGTTCCTCTGCTCAAACTTCAGCTAAGCACACTTCATTATTTATTTTTACGCCGCTGGCCTCCCTGGCACCATCATTCACAGCATACTTCCTTGGGATCCTTCCACACTCCAGAAGGAGGCTTTATTGTGCAGGCCTTTGATGCTCTCCGAAGCCACCTTCCCCATCACTGGCGAGCACACAACAGGAAGGATGAGCTTCAGGGGGGACCCGTCCACCCAGCTCATCCATCACAGGCCCTGCCACAACTGTTTTCCTTTTCACACTGTGCTGCGGCCATTACGAAGGGATACGAAGGTAGGATGGGCTACATGCTGCTCTCCTCTTGACCCGCCAGGGAATTAATCTTGGATGTTCAATTTAATGCCTTCCAACAACTGCAGCTGGGAGGGCCGCTGCATCTTTAAAAAAAAGGAGGAAGAGTAGGGAGGTGGGGAGGAGCTGGGAGGAGCTGGGTAAGGGGAAAGAGTATGATAAAAATATATTGTGTGCACAAAGAATAAATAAAACCATTATTTTTAAAAAAGAAAGGAGAAAGAGAAGGAACAGCGAGGGCATTTGTTGAAACCACAGGATTTTGTTACACTGAAATAAGCAGCATTTAATGTTTTCTCACAATCGTACCCGGGGAGAGGTGGGGGTTGTTGATGTGGACCATCAGAGGATGGTGTCACGGTGAAAATGGTGACTGGTTTATGGGAAATCTGAATGTGTTACCACTGACTTGAGAAAATCTTGAAAGTCTTTGCGTGTGTCAAATCCAGTTTAGGTATTTCTGTAGACTTTCCAGATGTCTGGTGGAATTCATACAATAAGAGATGATGAAAAAAACACAAATGTTTCTCTCCTGAAATTGAGAGAAATGGAAGGAACAAAAATAGGATGGAAAACATTATCTACAACTGAACGAGGGCATGATGAGTAATTCAAACAACGGCATAAAGATGGCTGGCCCAAGATGCTGGCATCTGCTCTACACCAAGGTCAGAACACAGGCTGGCGCATCCTTCCAGACTCCACTAGGCTGGACAGGTCTGTAGCAGGTCTGGAAAGACTTAGGGAACTGTCCATCCATCAGAGAGTGAGGGTGTCTGTGGGTGGGACACAAGGAACAGAAGCGGCCTTCAGCTCTGGCTCTGGCTCCTGGTGGCCCAGAGGGGCCTTTGGACAGTGTGAGTGGACAGAAGAGCAATGAAGGGAAGAGAGGAGATGCAGTTTGCAGCTTGGGAGGAACCTGTCCCTCAAACTAGCCATGGCCCAGGGGTTTGTTTCTGCAGAGTTTTCTAGAGCAGAAGGCATGTGCCCGCTTGAAGTGTGCAGCTCACACAAGGGAGCAGGTGGAGGGCACACTCACGCCTCTTGGAGCACAGTTTGATCTAGTCCCTGAGCATGGTTACAGTGGCACCCAAAGTGTCAAGAGGAAACCTAAAAAGAATTTGTACATATCAGGGGCCCAAAAGACAAATTTTTCAGACTTTCAAGAATGGAGAGAAGGACTCTGGGGGTGTGGAGAGCATCAAAGACTCCATAGGAGCTGAAAGGGAGATGATTGCAGAGAGCAAGGCACTCTAGCCACACTCAGAAAAGATGCAAGAGAACGTCCTGGTGATGTTGTCAGCAGAAGTAGAAGAGACACGGTCAGGCGAAAGGCAAGGAAGAGGAGGATAGGTGTGAGGAAACAACCAGTGCCAGCGGAAAAAAACAGCAAAGACCAGGGGACCTACCCCCCAGCAAGCTGGACCCAAACCCAAGGCAGAGCTTAAAGGGCATTGATGGAACAAAGATCCACACGAAAAGAAGATCTCCATTCTCAGATTCATGTGCCAAAGTGGTTTTTCATAAGAAAAAAAATGTTACAGGATACTCTAGAATGGCGCACCCTAGTGAATTTTCCTGACTTCAGGGATGCAGGAAGAATCTAAGGAGACAAAAAGTATCAAATCACCTTCAAGACATGAAAATCAGGCCAGCCTGGATTGCCCAGAGCAATGCTGACTGCCACGTGTAGGAACAGTTTAAAGGACAGACAAAATGTGTCCATACAGCCTGGAGTCCTGTTAGTTTTACAGGGGAGGAAAAAGCAATATAAAAATGTGAATTCTTGCCGAGCGGTGGTGGCACACACCTTTAATCCCAGCACTCGGGAGGCAAAGCCAGGTGGATCTCTAAGTTTGAGGCCAGCCTGGTCTAGAGAGTGAGATCCAGGACAGGCTCCAAAACTACACAGAGAAACCCTGTCTTGAAAAAACAAAACAAAAAAAACAAAAAGAACACCAAAAAATGTGAATTCTTGGGAGACTCTGTATTCCAGGCCACAAGGTGGCAAATTAAGAAGTCCCCACTCAGGGAGGGGAAACCACAAGATCCAAGGATGATTTGAGAGGCAAGTTGCACCTGAGCATTGCACCTGAGCATTGCAGGGGCCTAACCATCACACATGAGAATCCTGACAGAAAGAAAGCCTCTGAGAGTTTCTGGTTTCTGTGGTTGTACTGGGAAAGGTAGACAGCCACCGTCCTCACTGTCCACAGTACGTTGTCAATGATGTTTCAGAGTGGAGAGCATCTGCATTAGGAGAAAATCTGCCACTGGGCAAGTCCACCTATGTAACATCCTAAGTACGGACTGCAGAAGGGGAGGGTAGAAAAAGAGACCTCTTCACAATTACCAACAGTATAAAACATAGGCTTTGTTTTAACAATAAACACCAAATATCTTCCCCTCCAAATCATCCAGCAGATGATTTATCCACCCCAAAACATACTTTTCTGAAAACATCACCTTTATTTAACTCAAAGCAAAAATACCAGTTTTAACGTATTTCTCTACAATTTCTTCAAAATGTTACTATCAAGTCAACGGACTTGGCTGCCTCATCAGGAGCTCATAAGCCCACCACAAGAATGTCTGAACCACGCATTTGTTCCCTTAGTGCATGCATCTCTTAAATAATATCTCTATAGAATAGCCGCCCATCAGCATATAAGTCTAAACCATGACTCAGTACATCGGTGACTGAGGCAGGAGGCGTGCAAGTTAGTGCCCTGGCAATACTTTAACAATGCAAGCAAAGAAAACTTAAAAAGAAAAGACTGGGTATAGTGGCACATGCCTACAATCCCGTCACTTGAGGAGCAGATGCAGGTAGATCTCTCTGAGTTTAAGGCCATCCTAGTCTACATAGGGAATCCCAGGCCATGCAAGATGGCATAGTGAGCTCCTGTCTCAAAACAAACAAAAAGCAAAACAAAGGAAGAAAATGAATAATGAGTAAGCAGGCTCACCAAGGACATCTCAGAGTCCCACTGAGTCATGAGCATGACCTCAGAGCTAAGGCTTGTGGAGCTGTCGTGGGGATGGCTGTGCTGGTGACAGTCCCCATGTGCAGATCTCTTGTACCTGCTCTGTCTTGGCCAGTTTCTAGCGTGTCTTCTTGTGCTCTATTCTCAGAGAAGCCTGACAGGGAGGGACATGGGGTTTTGGAGAATCTGCCAGGAGAGGGAAGAGAGACAGGATTTTGACTTTACCCCACTAATCCTCAGACAAGAGTTCAGCTGCTGGCCACGAGCTGTGC